TCCAGGTAGTCAGATGTCTCTATTATTTCTTAGTTTTAGAAGTATCTTGAATTGCACATCCTGTTTACTCAGGTAATATTATATCCTTCTGGGGTCTTTGATGGAACTGAAGACAAGATAATGTTATAGTTTTTCTTAGTTATGATAGAAGATAACTTGAGTACAAAACTTTGGATTCATCAAGAGAGGATAGGTAATGGAATATTTTCTCTAAATTTTCCAAATACAAATGGACTGAACATTGTAAATGTAATTCTTATCTGATAATTGTTCTTATTGTATATAACTTTACTATGTTAGAGTTAAAACTTTTCCCTTCTTTTAGACAAAAAGGGGGAAATGTTGGGGAGTATCTTTTTGTACACTGTGGAGATGTGTCACTTGGGTTGGTTTAATAAAAAGCTGAACAGTCAATAGCTAGGCAGGATTTTTGAGGCAGAAAGGAGGCTGAGACATCAAGAGACAGGAACAAACAAAATATGCCAGAGGAGAGGTAACAGCCACAAACCACATGGCAGCACATAGGTTAGTAGAAATGGGTTAATTTAAGTTGTAAGAGCTAGTTAGAAACAAGTTTAAGTTATTGGCTCAGTTTTTTATAAGTTTCTGTGTCATTATCGGGGAGATGATGGTCCTGATGAAAAAATCCGACTCTGACTACACACACACACAGACACACACAGACACATACATACAGACATACAGACACACACACAGAGACACACAGACACACACACAGACACATACACACACAGACACACACACAGAGAGACACAGAGACACAGAGACACACAGACACACACACACAGACACAGACACACAGAAACACACACCTCTTTTATCCCAGCACTCAGGAGGCAGAGGCAGGTAGATCTCTGAAATTGAAGGCCAGTTTGGTCTACTAAGTGAGTTTCAGGACAGCCAAATTTACACAGAGAAGCCCTGCCTCTGCATAAGTAAGTAAAATTCGGGTTGTTTGTTGTCCTAGGCTTGCTGAGAGGGTAGGAAATTGGTCCATGAGGATGTCCAGAGTGAATGTGTTATGAGGATTCTGGAGGGACCACAAGTAGGTCTGAGCTTCTCGGTCACATGACGGGCACTTGGCACAGGCTCTAGGTTGGGGCCGGAGGCTGAGACAGTCTGAGTCATTCCTGATTGTCAGTGATAGTGGCAGGGGACAGGAGGATGAGGCCTTGGGAGTAAGGGTTGGGTGGATGAGTGGATGAATGGGGAGAGAAGTGGGGGCTCAGGGAGGAAAAACTGAGTCTGAGGCTAGCTTGAGCTACATAGTAAGACCTTGTCTCACAAAAGAAATAATGGGAGAGGGAGAAGGATGGAGGGGCAGCTGGACTTGGCCTCTCCATGTAGTTGGGGATGGCCCTGAACTGATCTTTCTGCCAGTGAGGGACCAGGGTGAGGAGCCAGGTGAGGAACTGGGTGGGGGACCCAGTGAGGGACCAGTGTAGGGAACCAGGTGAGGAACTGGGTGGGGGACTGGGACTCTGCTCGGTATTCTAGTCCCAGAGATGACCTAGAGCCCTCTATCAATCAAGCTGAGATGGAATTACACTGGCACAGGTAGGAACAGGGGACCAGAACTTCACACTACCTGTGTCGTGGTGAACCAGCTCTAAACTGAGTCAAGGATCCTCCCATAAAGGCTGGAGATGTACTGTGACCCCTGCACTGGGGACCATCTGATGTCCAGTCTTAGACTTCATAGAGGTTGGCTTGCAAGGCCCCTCTATCCATACCGAAACCCACGGACTTTCTTTCACACATTTGCTAAAAATTAGTACAGTGAGGGCTGGGGAGATGGCTCAGAGGAGAGTGCAATCGGATGCCCGGTACCCATGTGAATGCTGCGTGACTGTAGTAGCCCACCTGTCGTTCCAGCCACAGAAGGCAGAGATGGGATCCCCAGAGCAAGCTGGCCAGCCAGACTAGCCACATCCATGAGGGTCTTTCTCGCTGAATAGGTGGAGGAGAAATGAGATGGATGATCTATCATCCCAACCTCAACCTCAGGGCTCTACACACATGTGTACATGCGAGTTAGAATACCTGACACGTTGAAAACACCATGTGAGCTGTTAGATTAGAGAATAAGAGAAGGAACACAGAGACCACTGTCCCCCCAGCTTGCATAGGCACCCCTAGAAGATCTAACTGAAGGGCGGGAAAGGCAGGGGAGAGAACGTGAAAACCGTATCACTCTGGAGTGAAGGGCTACACTAACACTGAAAGCAACTCAGCCATGAGCCAGGCACCCGCAGACAAGACCAGAGTGGAGGGTGCAGTGGCTTATAGACTGTGAGTGCATTTTATAGCAGACTTTGGTTTTAAAGACACAGAGCATAATTTAATATGGATAGAGCTTTGAGAGACTGAGGAGGCACCATGAAGTTGGTTTTAAAATGAATCGTCTCTCTTTAGTTTACATTGGATGACATCAGAACTTGAAAAACTTTGATTTTGATTGTTATTATTTGCTGGCATTTTATGTCTTGAAATTCAGACCACCAAAAGTGTATATATATATTTGCTCTTCCCATCATGTGGGTCCCAGGGATGGCATGGAAATGGTCTGCCTTGGCAGCAACCGCCTTCAGCACCTTCCTCCACTGAGCCATCTCGTGTACCCTTGACATTTAACATCTCCTCCAAGGCCAAGAATGGCCCTGCCTGGTATACATGCCTCTAGTCTCAGCACTCTGGAGGTTCTGGCAGGTGTATCTCTGGGTTTCAGATCAGTCAGGGCTACACAGAGAGCCTGACTCTAAAAATAAATTAAATTAAAAATAAAACAAAAAACGGACATGAACAAGGCTGTGGATAGTTTTTCTAGAGGGAGAAAAATGGTCCTATGCCTTATCTCGTCCCAGAATTGTCAAGAATGGTGACAGAAATTTTCATCACCCCGCTGGGTCACACTGCTCCCAGACTGGGCCACCTCTTTTTCAGCACCCAGAGCAGAGTTCAGCCTCAGTGTGTCTCACAAGGGCTGCCCTGTGTATCTTTTAGTTGCCAGCCAACGGGAGCCTTAGGGCAATCAAAAAAGGTCCACACCGAGCCCACCCCCAGTTCCAAAGGTGGTCACCAGAATACACAGAATACACATTTGTCTGAGGGGGCAAAGGAATGGAAGGAGGCAGCCCAGGGGGCACATAATGCTCAAGCCCATTGCTGGAGGAACCTCCAACCCATCCTCAGCAGCCCACAGGAAGTAGCAGTCCAGCGGCACCCCACCCGAGGCTCAGGGAGCCTGGTTCAGCCTCAGAGCCTTTCAGGGGACAGCTGAAGTATTTATTCCTGGAGAAAGTTAGTTTAGAGCAACACACTAAACCTGAGGCCAGCCTGGGCTGAGACCAAAAAACTACACAAGAAAAATGGCTCAAGGCTCTAGCTTCAGGGGAGAATGCAGGACTGTGCACGGAGCTATTTACATCTGAAGGGCTCAGGGTGTGGCTCAGAGGCGTAGCACTTTCTACCCCAGCAAAGCAAACCAAACCGACAACAAAAACCTTATGATGGGAGGGGGCACCCAGTGGTGGTGCACGCTTTTAACCCCAGCTCTCCGTGGATCTCTAAAGAGTTCCAGGACAGCCAGGAATGTACAGTGAAATCCTATTTTGAAAAAAAAAAAAGATTAAATTGTGGGTGCCTGGTAGTGCAGCTCTAGGGCCATGATCCTGGCACTCAAATCGCCACAAAATGTAAAAAATCAAAATCCAACACACCAACCCTCTAAGGGAGTGTTTTCCTCTTCCAGAGAAAGCTCTGAGCAAGAAGGGCCCGAGCCTGAGCTGAGGGCCACTGTGGGTTTTGCAGAAGTGGTTCACAGAGGGCACAGAGAGCTCACACACCCTCCCTTTGCAGGGGAAGCAAGCCTGAGTATTTACTCTCGAAATATGAATCACATTATCATCCTCATTTCTGCTTTTCACAGATTACCAAAGAGCTGTCAGCTGTTTCCAGGGCCAGCGTGGCTCCGGGAGGGGGAGGATGGAGAGGAAATCCCTGCCTCTGTTGCAACTGGGGTGAGAGTGTGTTAAAATCTGCCTAAGGGCTATTTTCACTTTCTGGAACTAAGTTGGGTAATTGTTAGTAGCCATGGTTGCTGGGGGCAGGAGCCCAGAGAGTCTGCCAGGCAGAGACTAATGACGGACTTTGTTGGAAGACCTCACAGTATCCAATATAACACAGGTGGGTGCCTGCAAAACCACTGCTGTGCCCGGGGCAGGAGGCAGTCATCCCTGCCTGTCCGGAATAACAAAATCAGTCAGGTGCCACATGTCACCATGCTTACATGCCATTAGTACAAAACTTCTCAGCCGTGAGACCTTTAAGTTTTGAATCAAAATAGGGATGGTGCGACAGTTCAGCCAGGTGGAGGGGGGGGGTGGCTCCTGCGGCCGGAAGACCTGAGCTGAATCCTCCCACTCCCGACCTGCAAAGGAAAGGCAACTCCAAGCTAGTGCTAGTCTCCACACCGCACTGCCACGCGTGCAGTTCCCCAAACACAAAAATAAACGTAGTGAAGCACCACCCCCCTCCCCATAAAAAGATCCACCTCAACACTTGGCAGACAGAAGAATCTAGAGTTTGTGGCTAGCCTGGTCTACATATTAAGCCCCTGCTTCCAAAAATAAAAATTTAAAAAAAGCAACGAAACGTCAGCATACTCCTTAAGTTTGGCTAAAACCCCAGAAGTTACCAGGAAAAGATTTTTAATTTTCCTTCCCTCCCCTCCTCCAGCTTAGATGGCCACATCAGTGGGACCAACACTTTTCCCAGCTCTGGGGAACAAGGGGGCAAATTATGGCTCAAAGTAGCTGCCTTAAAATAACCCGTGCTCAATCCTAAAACGCCATGTTTACATTTATAGAGAACCCACAGGCCCTGGCAGCTGGGGGCTGCAGCTGGTGACCTTGGCCACAGGCACCACTCCCTATCCCCCTCAGGGCCTCCCCCTCCCCAGCCACACCACTCTGCGGCGATTCTTCCAAAGATCCAAAACTTTAATTAGAAAACACAAAGTCTTATAAAAATGAAGCAGGCGGCAAAGATGCCATCGTCTCCCTTATAGTAAATACAATCTGCCAGTCACTTATATACAACATCATAAAAAACGACACGGGTGACAGTACACTCAAAAGGCCATTTCTCACAAGGCATCTAGCCTCGATCCTCTAGTGGGGACCCGAGGGAAATAAGTCAATTAATTATTGCACCATTTTGAAAACATTCGTCACAGGCTCCTGTCTTCTTCCCCGGGGCCTTCAGTCACGGTGGGGGCCAGAACTGGTGGCAGAGTCTTGCCACACTCCCGGCCCCGTCCTCAGGGTCCAATAAATAGCAGTCAGTTTGCAAAGGGACCGTGCACGGCGCGTGGGACCCGCCACGGCCGTGCATGGAGTAGCCAGGTCTACCCAGGCTACATATGTCGCTTCATGTGCAGGGCCAAGTGGTCGGACCTGGAGAAGGCGCGGTCGCACAAGTGGCACTGGAACGGCCTGTGACCTGTGTGCTTGCGGTAGTGGCGGGTAAGCTCGTCTGAGCGCGCGAACTTCCAGCCGCAGCCGTCCCAGTTGCAGTGGTACGGCTTCTCACCTGCGGGGGAGGGAATGACAGTCAGTCTCAGTTTCCCCGAAAGCCTAGTTCTGGCACCCAGCGCCCAACGGCACCTGCTCCCTCCCTCTCCATTCTCATCTCCACCCACATCCCGTCTGGAGAAGAACCTTGTGCTCCCGAGGCTGTCTCAGGTGCACCTCTCCCCTAACATTCTCTGATTAAGTATGGAGTACACTAGGCTAGCTGTGAATTCCTGATCCTCCTGCTTATGACCACTGGTGCCAGGCGTTGCATGCAGGCATGCAGGGCTGGGGATGGAAATCGTGTCCTCCGTTGACCGTAAGCCCGCACTGTAATCTGCCACGCCCCCTTGCCAGGACCAATGTGTGGTAACAATATGTACCATTTCCCTTCCCTCCGTAGCCTAGCCTGGCCCTGAACTCGCGGCCATTCCCCTGCCGCAGCTCCACCCCACCCCCGGTGAGGTCAGGCGCCCACCTGTGTGCGTACGGAGGTGCGCTTTTAGGTGCGAACTCTTGGTGTAGGTCTTGCCGCAGTTGGCATAGCTGCAAGTGTGCGTTGCGGCGCGCTTGCGGGGCCAGGAGCGGCGGCCGCGCTTGGGTTTGGCCTCCAGCAGCTCCAACGGGGACGAGGGCGGCGTGAGGAGACCGCGGGTGGCGGGGGGAGGTAGGCCCAGGGCCGC